CTCAAATGCAGGAGAACAGGAACACAGGCCATGCATAGAGCCCAACAGTGAGAGGACTGAGACATTTTGTCAAAGCACACAAGGGCAAACCCCTTCTGTTATGAAAAGTGTCCTGGGCTCTTATATGTCTGTGTGTCATATTGAGCCATGAGTGTCTAAGTGGGGAGTTCTGCTTAGAAACTGACAGCATGATATGAGGTGTTGTAGTAGCCTTGTCTCACTCACCAACAGAAGTTTGTCCAATAAAAGATATTACCTCACCCATCTTATCTCTTTAGCATGATATGAATCCTTTGTTCATTAGATCTCACCTGAAAGCTCTGTCTCACCCCATGCAGTAATTTGTATGGAACTTTAATTTATCTATCTGAGAAGGATGAATGACTGAATTAATCCTACTGGGACTTGAACCTGTGTTCCCACAGGGCTGTCAAGCGATTAAAAAAATTAATCGCAATTGCACGATTAATCGTGCTCTTAAACAAAAATAGAACACCATGTATTTATATATTTGTGGATGCTTTCTACATTTTCAAATATATTGATTTCAATTACAACACAGACTACAAAGTGTCCAGTGCTCACTTTATATTTATTTTTGATTGCAAATATTTTCACAGTAAAAAACCAAAGAAATTGAATTTTTCAATTCATCTAATACAAGTACTGTAGTACAATCTCTTTATCATGAAAGTTGAACTTAGAAATGTAGAATTATGTACAAAATCCCCTACATTCAAAAATAAAACAATGTAAAACTTTAGAGCCTACAAGTCCACTCAGTCCTACTTCAGCCAATCGCTCAGACAAACAAGTTTGTTCACAATTTACAGGAGATAATGTTGCCCGCTTCTTGTTTTCAAGAAAGTGAAAACAGAAGTTCACATGGCACTGTTGTAACAGGCGTCACAAGATAGTTATTTGCCTGATGAGCTAAAGATTGTCCCTTCATGCTTCAACCACCATCCCAGAGGACATGCATCCATGCTGATATGGGTTTTGCTCGATAACGATCCAAAGCAGACCAGACCCCTAAGTATGTTCATTTTCATCATCTGAGTCAGATGCCACCAGCAGGTTGATTTTCTTTCTTTCTTTTTTTTTTTGGTGGGTTGAGTTCTGTAGTTTCCTCATCAGAGTGTTGCTCTTGCAAGACTTCTGAAAGCATGCTCCACATCCCGTCCCAATCAGATTTTGGAAGGCACTTCAGATTCTTAAACCTTGGGTCAAGTGCTGTAGCTATTTTTAGAAATCTCACATTGGTATCTTCTTTGTGTTTTGTCAGATCTGCTGTGAAAGTGTTCTGAAAATGAACAACATGTGCTGGGTCATTGTCCAAGACTGCTACAGCATGAAATATATGGCAGAATGTGGGTAAAACAGAACAGGAGACATACAATTCTCCCCCAAGGAGTTCAGTCATAATTTTAATTAATGCACTATTTTTTTAATGAGCATCATCAGCATGGAAGTATGTCCTCTGGAATGGTGGCCAAAGCATGAAGGGGCATATGACTGTTTGGCACATAAATACCTTGCAACGCCAGCTACAAAAGTGCCATGCGAACGCCTGTTCTCACTTTCAGGTGACATTGTAAATAAGAAGCAGGCAGCAGTATCTCCCATAAATGTAAACAAACGTGTTTGTCTTAGCGATTGGTTAAACAAGAGGTAGGACTGAGTGGACTTGTAGGTGCTAAAGTTTTAAATTGTTTTGTTTTTGAGTGCACTTATGTAACAAAAAAAAATCTACATTTGTAAGTTACACTTTCACAATAAGGAGATTGCACTATAGTACTTGTATTAGGTGAATTGAAAAATACAGTTTCTTTTGTTTATCATTTTTACAGTGCAAACAAATATTTGTAATAAAAATAATAATATAAAGTGAGCACGGTACACTTTGTATTCTGTGTTGTAATAGAAATCAATATATTTGAAAATGTAGAAAAACATCAAAAATATTTAATAAATTTCAGTTGGTAATCTATTGTTTAACAGTGCAATTAATCATGATTAATTTTTTTAATTGTAATTAATTTTTTTGAGTTAATCATGTGAGTTAACTGCGACTAATCGACAGCCCTAGTTCCCACATATTTCAGATTTGACATTAGACTACTGTCTCCTCCCCTACAGTCTAGTCTTTCTATTATAAAATAAAATATTGTTTCCTTATGATTCTTAGATGTTTTCTTTTTTTCAATATTGCAATGCAGATGGCATTTCATGCATATGGGTAGCATATATAAGGGAAGAAACAAGTCTGAGGAAGGAAATTAAGGATTACTTTCTATGTGAGAAATATAACAGATTACAAATCCTCAAGTATTCTGACTCAAAGGAGTCAGGAGTAGAGTGAAAATATGATTTCATGTGTTTTAAATGTACATTTATTGTTCCTGTTGCTTCTAGCAAATTGCATTAGGCAATTTACAGTAGCTAACATAAAACCAAATTGTACAATAAATACTGAATTGAATATTTTATAGTGCTTTTCCCTTGAGTGTATGTCTCCAGTTTCTGAGTGTTGGGATTTTTTTAGCCTATTTAAAGAAGCCCTTTCTCAAGGCAACGCTCTAGCAGTGAACTAATGTAATATTGGTATTAGTGCCCTGTATCCGAAGTGTAAAGAAATAGTTTCTAACTCCCGTTTTTAAAAAAAAGTAATCACAGAGCTTAGGATGGGAGCTTGCTTTATTATCATTGTGCTTTTCTTTGCATTGATATAGTAGGCAACAAATATACATGGACATCTTATGAGAAGGTTGCACTTTTGCAGTTGGTTAGATGGAAGATAATTACATCAGAAACCTACAGTATTAGAATTAAGTTACGGGAAACTTACTGTTAGATGTTTCAGAGGGGTAGCCGTGTTAGTTTGTAACAGCAAAAAGAACGAGGAGGACTTGTGGCACCTTAGAGACTAACACATTTATTTGGGCATAAGCTTTCATGGGTGAAACCCAGGAAAGCTTATGCCCAAATAAATGTGTTAGTCTCTAAGGTGCCACAAGCACTCCTCATTCTTTTTGTTAGATGTTATCTGAAAGCCGAACACTGTACTAGAGCTGGTAAAAAAAAAAAAAATTCTGACAAAAAATGTGGTTTCATCAAATGAAATGTTTTAGAGAAAATGTTGGTTTTGACAGAATTCCTCAATTTTGAATGTTTGTTTCATTTCAATTTTCAAGAACAATTTTTTTAATAACTGGAATTTTTGTTTTCCCCCCTTCCCTACTTGTCTGCCTCTGAATGCAACAGAGTGAATGATATCTAGGGATTTGTTTTTATTCTTTTTCAGTTTTCCTTTTTTTCAGTCTGCAACTTTTCAAAATGTCTCCTACTTTGGAAAAGTCAGAGTGGAAGAAGGAAAAAAAGAAACTCTGTAACCTTGTCACTCTGTAATTTTGCAAATGTTAGAGAAGTTATGAAAACTCAGAGTTGAAATAGGAAAAAAATAAAAGACGGGGGAGGGAGCCCTAGATATCATTCATTTCTTTGCACCCAAAAGGAAAAAAATGGGTGGGGGAAGAAACTTTAAAAAGATATTTGCAAAAAATATTTTAAAAAAATGATACTATTCCATTTTGAGCTCTTCAAAAGGGAAACAAATTCAAGATGGCAAATTGTTTTGTGAAATGTTTTTTGCATTTTTTTTTTACCAGCTATCGATAGTATTGGCTCTCTGCTGTTGCTGCTAAGGATTCTCCAAGGCCCTGCTCCTGCTCCCACTGAAATCAATAGCAAAACTCCCACTGACGCCAGTGGTGCAAGATCAAGCTCTAAGGGCCAGGTTTTCAGCTGGGGTAAACTGGCAAAACTCCATTGTCTCCAAGCGAAGGATTGGCCTTAAATATTTTTATAACCTGAAGTACCCCAAGCAGCTTCACTATACAACAGACGGTACTTCTGGGTCATAATCAACTGGTCAGCTTTTCTCATATAACAGTGTCATTTCTGGACCGGCTGTTTTTTAGATTATGATTTCTTGGAATGGTTTCCATATGATAACTATACCATTTTGTAGTGTAAGTGAAGAGCAAAAACTTTAACACATCCTCTAGGTTTGTAGATACCTGCATTTTTCTTGTCCCTGTTTGGTCCATATCTAGAATTAAGTCGCCATGCATGTGGTTTCATTCTCTGGACATTTAAGTATTTTCAGTAGATATTCATAACTTGTTATGAAGTTCACTCAGTAATATTTCTGTGATTATCAAATATCTGTGTCTGAATAAATTATATTCACTTGGCCGTATGATCGGATAGGATATCTGTCCAACAATATAAGCTATTTTGTAACCTGGGGGAGGCAACAGCAAAGATATTATTTGAAAAAGAAGGATGTTCAACCAAAATACTGCATGAAAAAGCTTTTCTGGGTCTATAACAGCAGGGCATAGAAAGGCAGAAAGTCTTAAATAACAGGTTGGTTATGTTTTTACAGAAAATAATTTTGGATTTTTTCCCATAGTAACTCAATATCCTGAACACTGTTTTCATGGGGAAGAAATTGCATTTTTGCTGTATTCCCAGAGTGAGCACCTGTTATTGTTCCATTGTATTTATCATCTCTTTAATCTCTGTGCATTTTTCCTTGTGCCTATGTACTAAAGATGAACCCTCTCAGTCTGGTAACGTTCCGCTATTTGAATTCAGGTGAAAAAATATAAAATACATTAATCCAGATATATAAAAGGCTGTGGTAATGAAAAGAATCATACAGAGATAACTGTGGTTACATACTTGGATGTTTCCTTTCATTACAGGTGAACGTTTTGCTTTACAATAACATGGCAATGTAATCTCATTTATATGCTACCTGTTTGTTTTTCGTAAGTAGGCATAAAGTATATTTCTATTTCTTTGGTCAAATTCTGCTCTCAGTTAAATCCATGTAGTCTCATTGAAATCAATGGAGTAGCATGGGTGAAAATTAGAGGAAAATTTGGTCCGTGTCAGTGATTCAAATTTATCTTCTCATTGTTCATTCTTAGGTCCACAGCACGTTTTAAAGCCTGATCCTGGAGACCGTAGTCACGTGAGTAGCATTACTTGCATGAGTAGAGTAATCAGTTTGATAGCATCATTTGTGAGAGTTAGGTTTGCACAATGAGGCCTGAAGTTCAACCCTGATATGATGAGACTAAGTAAGCAATTTTAGAAAGATAATATCAGCCAACTGATTAATCAGTAAGTACAACAAAACATAGGATATATAAATGTCTAACTTTCCAAACATATCTAAGGATTATAGGATCAGAATTAGTGATGAACAGTCCTTGAAAGCTTTGTATATTCTGTATGGGAAAATATTCAAAAGTTTAGCTGTTTATTTCATGTTTATCAAAATCTATTTAGGTTGGCTCTTCAGTTAGTAGGTAGTGAGTATAGCATGGATACACTAACCATTTGTTAACTAGGATAGATTTGAGTGGAGTGGAGTTTGGAGGTTAAACTCTTATGAGATTGTAGTTTTGACAAAGGTTGAAATACAATGAAAAATACAATAAAAGTACACTTCTAATCTTAAAACCATCAGGAAGTGCTTAGACCCATGGGGATTAAAGTGACTTGAATTTTTTAGTTTGGGTTTTGAATGAAGTTATAAAAATTAGATTCTATTTTATCCAAATTTGTTTTCCTATCACTAATGAGACTATGTGATAGATAGCACTTCTGAGTGTAGTTGGTGTATAATTTGATATGTTGATCACTTTAGATACACAGTTTCATATCAGTAGGAAACTCTTTTAGATCTGCTGTGGATGGAATTGCCAAACTATTTTCTTAGAATTATGTAGATTATTGCTGGCATTTCTGAGAAAACTGTTGTAGACTATGCATTTATTAACATTTCTAAACGTGTGCATGTTATACTGTATGCATCTACACATAAAATCAATATTATTTATTTAAGCTTTTTAACATGATTGACAAACTGGTTATTGTTTCTGCCTTGAAGTGCCTTCAAGTGTATAATATTAGCCACTGACTCACACTTGCTAGTTTTGATTTAAACATGTACCTTCTTGATTCTCTTCCCTCAAGGCAGCAGCATATAGATTATATTTTCTATCAAATCAATACTTTTTTTTTATAATTGAGGCACAGGTGAAATGTATAGTAGGTTTCTAAACATGAGTATGTATATTATAAAAAAAGCCAAGGAATGTTTAACTATTCTGATGAATACAACTATAAAGTACACACATTTTAAATCTCTTAGCAGAATTATGTTTTCCTAAACCACAATGTGGAATTGCATATAGAGTGATGATGAAAAATGCAACAGAAAACTGGAAGTTCTTTTGAGCTGAAAAGCTCCTTAAATTCTCAAATGTAATAGATTAAAAAGTAAATATTCTGATTTATTTTAACCCTGGTACTGCATAGAAATGGTGGTGATGGAATTCCTTGCTGCTGTGAAAATCAGATCAAAATGTTGTGATGATTTTAAAAATTGACAAATTGAGAAAAACTTTATTTAATTTTTTGAAGGGATGGATCTGACAGTAATGTCGGTTATATACACCAGAAAAATCAATGAAATAACTTTTACCTTCTTTTTGGTCCCTTGCCATAAACATGTGTAATAAGTCAACTTGACTGGCTGAGCAAACAGTGATCCTACCAGCCCCCTGTCTGTCTTTCAATTCCCTAACCTTACGGGCAAGAGCCAAAGAACAGCCAGTTTATTTATATTTGCTCTCTGCAATCTCCTTTACTTTTAGACTGGCTTTTTTTTTCCCATAAAAATATAAATGATAGCTTTTACAGAATGCCCTTTTTGCACAGCAGTTCCTGAATTCCTCTTGGCTAGGCACAGTGTATAGTAAAATAGTGCCTTTGGCATCTCACCTTCTGATCACTGCTAATACCTATCCTATAGGGTTGACAAGCAGAGTATACTTAAACTGCCATAGGCTATGACTGAGTCCTTTATACACGTTTAAAACTGTGCTTAGAAGTAGAGAAAGGAAACTGTGCCTTTTATTTTGGTGTCACAAAACAGTCCATCAGGTAAGCAGGTGGGAGGTCAGATCTCTGCTAGCAAGTGTTGAGTTTGGTAAGTCAGTGGCATTTGTAGGATATCTGGTTTCTTTATTGCAAAAGGCTATCATTTAAATCTTAATCTGAAACTGGAATGTTTCAGAGTAGCAGCCGTGTTAGTCTGTGAGCGCAAAAAGAAAAGGAGTACTTGTGGCACCTAGTCTCTAAGGTGCCACAAGTACTCCTTTTCTTTTTGTTGAAACTGGAATGGAATTCGTGGATAAAAGCTATTCTTCCAATCCTTATTGCCATCCATACATTATAATCATCACTAATTCCAAGAAGGTCCCTAGTAAATGATTACATTACACCCTGGTTAGCTTGTGTTTCTTGCCCTACAATATATTTTTGTTTTGTTTTGCTGTCTTCTGTGAATAACTCCGTAGTTTATCTTACTAATTGACAGCTTTCAAGCATCACTGGATAGCATGAGAACTCACCTGGGGAGTGAGAAATGAACTATTAAAACATTAAAATAAGGAAACATTTTGGGTACTTTCTATCATTATATCTTTGAAATTTGGAAGTTTATTTGCAGTGAAACACAGCAAGTTAGAATACTGTAGATAATCTCTAATTTTAAAATGGTAAAGAAAACAATCAGTATTTTGGGCTAGATTGTACATTTAGGCACGGCCTTGTGAAAGGGCTTGTGCATAAATTGCAGCAGCTCCGGTGTAGCTTTACATAAGAATGGCATACATACTGGGTCAGACCAATGATCCATCTAGCCCGGTATCCTGTCTTCCAACAGTGGCCAGTGCTTCAGAGGGAATGAACAGAACAGAGCAATTTTTGAGTGATCCTCCCCCAGTTTGAGTCATCCAATCCCAGCTTCTGGCAGTTGGAGGTTTAGGGACACTCAGAACATGAGGTTGTATCCCTAACCAACTTGGCTAAAGTAGTCATTGGTGGACCTATCCTCCATGAACTTATCTAATTCTTATTTGAACCCAGTTATACTTTTGGCTTTCACAACATCCCTGGTCAATGATTTCCTCAGGCTGACTGTTGTTTTGTGAAACAGTGTACTTCCTTTTGCTTGTTTTAAATCTGCTGCCTATTAATTTCATCAGATGACCCCTGGTCCTTGTGTTATGTGAAAAAATTCTCTTTCTCCCCACCATGCATGATTTTACAGATCTCTATCATATCCCCCGTGAGTCGTCTCTTTTCCAAGCTGAACAGCCCCAGTCTTTTTAATCTCTCTTCTTACGGAAGCTTTTCCATCCCCCTGATCAATTTTGTTCCCTTCTCTGTACTTTTTTCCAATTCTAAATTATCTTTTTTGAGATGAGAGAACCCAGAACTTCATGCAGTATTCAAGTGTGGTCATACATGGATTTATGTATTGGCATTATGATATTTTTTGTTTTATTATCTGTTCCTTTCCAAATGGCTCCTAACGTTCTGTTAGCTTTTTTGACTACTGCTGCACACTGAGCAGATGTTTTCAGAGAACTATCCACAATGATTCCACAATTTCTTTCTTGAGTGGTAACAGCTGATTTAGACCCCATCATTTTGTATGTATAGTTGGGATTATGTTTTCCAGTGTGTATTATTTTGCATTCATCAACACTGAATTTCATCTGCCATTTTATTGCTCAGCCATGCAGTTTGAGATCCCCTTGTAACTCTTCACAGTCAATTTGGACTAAACTATCTTGAGTAATTGTTTCCTCTGCAAATTTTGCCACCTCACTGTTCCCTTTTCCAGATCATTTATGATTATGTTGAACAGCACTGCTCGCAGTACAGATCCTTGGCCCCAGTATTTACCTCTCTCCATTTATTCTTATAATTTGTTCCTGTTTTTTAACCAATTACTGATCCTTGAGTCAGCTTTGGATTTATCCATCTTGAGTAATTTTGTATAGTCTGCAAAATTTGCCACCTCACTGTTCACACTGTTTTCCAAATCATTTATAAAAATTTGTGAACAGCACTGGTCCCAGTACAGATCCTTGAAGGACCTTTGATATTTATCTCTCTCCATTGTGAGAACTGACTATATAATCCTACCTTTTGTTTCTTACCTTTTATACAGTTACTGATCTATGAGAGGACCTTCCCTCTTATCCCATGACTGCTTAGTTTGCTTAAGAGCGTTTGGTGAGTGATCTTGTCAAAGGCTTTTTGAACATCCAGATACATTAGATTGACTGGATCACTCTTCTCCTCATGCTTGTTGACTCCCTCAAAGAACTCTAATAGAGTAGTGAATCATGATTTCTCTTTACAAAAGTCACGTTGGCTCTTCCCCAACATATCATGTTCATCTATGTGTCTATGTGATGGAGTGTACTCCAGGCCCTTTGAGGCCCCCTGCTGGAGGCCTCATGGTCCTACCATACTCTGCCCCAGAAAAGGAGCACTGAAGGTGGGTCCTCCAGGCTTGCCTAGAGAGGCTGTAGGGAAGCAGCCAATCAGAGTGCAGCAGATTCAGTTAAATAGACTTGCAGGGCCTGAGCAGATCAGTTCATGGCAGAAACCAGAGGAGCAAGGAAAAAGTGCTCCTTGCTGGTTGCTGGATCATAAGGGATGTCAAGGTTCCTCCCCCACTCTGAACTCTAGGGTACAGATGTGGGGACCTGCATGAAAAACCTCCTAAGCTTATATTTACCAGCTTAGGTCAAAACTTCCCCAAGGTACAAAACATTCCACCCTTTGTCCTTGGATTGGCCGCTACCACCACCAAACTAATACTGGTTACTGGGGAAGAGCTGTTTGGACACGTCTTTCCCCCAAAATACTTCCCAAAACCTTGCACCCCACTTCCTGGACAAGGTTTGGTAAAAAGCCTCACCAATTTGCCTAGGTGACTACAGACCCAGACCCTTGGATCTTAAGAACAATGAACAATCCTCCCAACACTTGCACCCCCCCCCCTTTCCTGGGAAATGTTGGATAAAAAGCCTCACCAATTTACATAGGTGACCACAGACCCAAACCCTTGGATCTGAGAACAATGAAAAAGCATTCAGT